AGAGTTTATTAGGGTATAGGGTTTACGTTTTATTAGGGTTTAGGTTTTATTAGGGTTTATGTTTTATTAGCTTTAAGAGTTTATTAGGGCTTAGGGTTTATTAGGGTTTAGGGTTTATTAGGGTTTAGTGTTTATTAGGGTTTAGGGTTTATTAGGGTTTAGTGTTTATTAGGGTTTAGGGTTTATGAGGGTTTAGGGTTTACGGGTATATCAAAGAGAACATCTTTACTGTCTCCTGTCTCCTGCTGCGGTGTATAGCGAGCTGGCCAGTGCAGCTGCAGCAGATCAATGTAAGAAACCCTCAGCCGCTTCATGCTGCCCTCAGCAGCAGCAACTATCTCCTCCTTAGATAAATACAAACTGCAGCAGCAGCACCAGCAGCAGCAGCAGCAGCAGCAGCAACAGCAGCAGCAGCAGCAACAACAACAACAGCAGCAGCAGCAGCAGCAGCAGCAACAGTGACAGCTGGGGAAGCAGCTCATGCAAAAACAGATACAGCAGCAGCAAATGCAACTGCAACACCAAACAAGTGCAGCAGCAGCAGCAGCAGCTGCTGCTGCTGCTGCTGCTGCAACAGCCAATGGATCGGCGACAATCAGCAGCAGCAGCAACAACAGCAGCCACAACAGAAGCAGCAGCAACAGCAGCAGCACAACAACAGCCGTAACACCAGCAGCAGCAACAACAACAGCAGCAGTAGGAACACCAGCAGCAGCGACAAAAGCAACAGCAGCAGCAACAGCAACAGCAGCAGCAGCATCAGCAGCAGCAGCAGCATCAGCAGCAGCAGCAGCAGCAGCAGGAGAACATACTGGTTAGTATTTTGTTTACGTTGTCTAAGAAAGGAGAGTTTGTTGCTGCTGCCTGGAACAGTAGCAGCAAGAACGAGCTGCTGTCTGCTGCTGCTGTCTCTTGCTGCTAGCCAGTCCCCAACTGTCTCCTCAGCTCTCCCCCAGGTGTATAGGGAGACAGGCAAAGGATATATTTGTGCTGTATCTATAAAGTTTACACCCCACACATCAACAGCATAAGACAATAGGTCTTTTGCATCATTATAATTACCTTCTCCTCCTGGGGGCCCCTGGGGGCCCCCCATAAACATAGTACCCACCCCCACCTCAGAAACAAACAAATCGCTCTGCCCCAGCTGTCTATACACCACGGGAAAAGGAGACACTTCGCCCCCAAAAGGAGACACCTTCTCTCGCCCCCACCGACACACAGCAGGCACAGCTGGCAACCGGCCCCCAGGCAAATACACCTTCGGAGACAAACAACCGGTAGATACAGGCAAAGACACGTGGCAGTACTGACGGTGATACGCCTCCATGCTGCTCAGCGGGGGGCCCACAGGGGAACCCCCAGGGGCCCCCACAGGGGCCCCCCCAGGGGCCCCCCCAGGGGACCCCCCGGGGGCCCCCCCAGGGGCCCCCCCAGGGGCCACCCCAGGGGCCCCCCCAGGGGGGGCCCCCCCAGGGGCCCCCCCAGGGGCCACCCCAGGGGCCCCCACAGGGGTTCCCACAGGGGGGGGGCCAGGGGCCCCCCCAAGGAGGGGGCCCCCAGGGGGGGGGCCCCCAGAAGGGTCTAGAAAGGGGCCCCCTGCACGAGCAGGGGGAGGAGGAGGAGGCACCAGCTCGCCAGGCTCCCCTATCAAAGGAAGAGTAAAAGAAAAAGAGGTTGTTGTATCGTCCTGCTGCTGCTGCTGCTGCTGCTGCTGTTGCTGCTGCTGCTGCTGTTGCTGCTGCTGTTGCTGCTGCGATGCATGTATTTGCTGTTGCTGTGTGTAGCCGGCGTAGAAGATATGATGTTTAGTATTTA